TGCATACAGAATAATTCACACCCAGTTTAGGTGCACCCATAGGAGAAGTTGTTTGGTAGCAGCGCCTCAGATACAGGTGCAACACATCACAGTATCATCTTAAATTTGTTCTATTGAAAAGAAACAGCAGATATGTCGAGTAGGTGCACGTGGACCCTCCAATACTAACACCAGCTCACCCAGACTGTGTAACTAAAATGTTGAAACTTTGCTTTTGACCTTGAGTTAATAATGTTCCACTACATCCATGAACTTTTCATATGTGACGCAGGAGGATATTGGGACCAATAAAAACCATGAAACATGACACTGCAGTTCCTCCTAGGGTTTTAAGTTTGATTATAGATTTTAACAAAACAAACAACAGCATTACATTTCGAGGAAAGCGAGGAAAATAAACAAATAAACACAAACTCCTGTCTCACAGCTGAAAGCAGCTCCAACACGACACACTGTTTATAAACTAAATGCATGACGTACCTTTTTCCCGTTGACAAAGAAGCACAAAGTATTTCCTCCTTTCTCTGCAGACATCTTCTCAGTACAGGAGACGACTTCAGTTCAGGCATCAACACAGGACCGAGTCAGCCTGGATCACAGGCAGGACTTCCGCCTGCCAACACTTTCAAAATAAAACCAATGAAGGCTTAAAAACATGTCGGATTCAGACTACAGTCATTGACTCAAGCATTTAAAGGAGCAATGTTAAAGTGTTCTCTTTTGTATTCATACACCACTGTAGATACTTTAGGGACTGTTCGTTATTTGTGAGAGGAAAGGGGGCGCATACAGCTTTTTATGGCTGTATTTTGTATTTATTTTACTGCTGATTTTAACATGTTTTCTTAAAAAAAAAAAAAAAAGTAAAATCAGACTTTATTGTTGGATTTTTAAATTGGACACATTAAGTGCAAAAAAATAAAAAAGACATAACAATATCTGAGCTTAAAAAAGTGATATTTAAGGCATGTTTTCTTTAAATAAATAAATGAATAAACAGCCAAACTTATGCCAGAAAATGTAAAAAAAAAAATCATAGTTTTTCTAATTTCCCACAGTCTTTGGACACATCATGTGAGACGCTTCTGTAATAATAATAATAATAATAATAATAATAAAATCTGGGCATAAAATATTTATATTTCATCAAAACTGTAACATGTCATTTCTTAAAAAAAAAAAAGTTGGATATTGAAATTTTCAATGGTCCTTGAACACATCATGTATGCTTCCATAAGAAAAAAAGACATAATCAACATTCTTTTTCTTGAAAAAAAAAAAAAAAAAACATTATACATACAATAAATGTAAAAACAGAAATTAGCGTTAATTTTCAACGGTCCCTGGACACATCATGTGCAATGTATCAGTCAGGGAAAAAAATAAAATAAAATCCAAACAACTGAACATAAAATAGTGACATTTAATCAAACATTTATTTTGTAGGGCAAAAAAATGATGCCAGAAAATGTAAAAACAGAAATTATCATTGGTTTTTCAAATCACAAATTGAGACATATTTTCTTTTAAAAAAATAAAAGAAAGAAGTTTTTCATTTATTTCGCGCTACAGTGTGAGCCTTTCAGTCACTTCTCTGGTGTCTTCTTTCTTTCTCTGTGTCTCTTAATACGTCCATGGAAACATGCTTTTATTTTAGCTGTAATATGAGTTCATTTCCTGTCCCACACTGCTGCATCTCTCTGGCTTGATGCGTGGACTACAGACCGCCCACCTCTTACCTTACCTTATCTGACCTGTAACTTATTTTGACATGAGGTTGTCTTCTGTCTGTCCCACCCTGAGTACTGCTCTTTGTGGTAATTAACTTTGCGCTTAACGTCTAAAGATGAAATCAGGAAACAGTTCTACAGAAATGTGTGTGTGTCTGCAGCAGGTTGTGTTTTATAATCATTAACCTGAAGTCTGCTCAGGCTCAGACCTGTCTGTGTCAGTCTGTTGTGCTTTATTGACAAAAGGGACACATGTCATGTTCAACAAGACTTTACGCTTGTTTTCTTAAAAATATTAACATATAATCTACAGTTTTGTGCAGTTTGTCATAAAGAGAACATGATTTTCTCAACTTGTAGGCCTGCTGTGTCCTCGCACAGTAAATGTAACACTTTAAAGATGAGAAACAACATCAGAGCTGTTTACTGTCAGACAGAGCGCAGGAGATGAGTCCTGCCACACGAGGGAGCTAAAGGAAAGCAAAGGACTGCAGAGAGACATTAGGAGTGTTCCAGTACCCAGACTACTGTACTGTATAATACGCCAGGAAAAGATTTAGTATGTCCAAATACGTAGTATGTCAAATGCAGTGTGCCAAAAATACCAGGATGTTCTTCTACAGTGTGTCCAATTTTGCAGTTTGTAATCCTTGTAGAAAAGATGATTTTACTGACAGACAGTCGACCATCGGCTTAGTGTGTCAGGGCCTTTAAAACCAAGTCTTAACCCCTTAAACTGGCCCTCAAACTGACCCAAATCTCGCCTGTGTGATGGCTTGTGTCTCAGATATTAAGTCCTGGATGTCATAAAACTTCCTCCTGCTCAAGTCCAAATCTGAGGTCCTTTTGTCTGGCTGCCAAAACCTGACCTCTGACCTAAAAAAGAATGTCCAGTGTAAGGCCTTGATCACACAGAAAGCGTTTGAGCAGCTGTAGGTGGTTTTTGGTAACGGTTTTTAATGAGAATGAAGGTATTTGCGTTGGGACGCACCTCACGTTTCTGCACTCTAAGGCTTGTACTTCCGAAACCGTGTATTATTCTATGTGATTTGGCTGTTTGGCCACACGCAACCAAAACTGTGTTTCTTTGAAACCGGAGTCCAGGGTGAAGTGTTTGGAAGACTCTGGTGCCAGCGGTTGCGTGTAGATAGGATAACCGCAGTATTTTATTTCCTGTCTTTGTTTGGCGACAGAGCGACGGTAAATAGCTAGTGAAATGGCAGACCAAACAAACATGCTGGTGCTAACTTTATTTGTGAGCGTGCTGGATGGCTTATCCAGCTGCTTGACCTAACGACCAAGGAAGGAGGCTGCTCCTGTTGCTAGCTACCCCAACTACACTACCACGAAAGCAGCGACAGGCCTGCCAATGGAGGTTCTGGATCCGGCCAGGTAGGACCTCCGTTGGCAGGCCCGTCGATGCTTTCATGGTAGTGTAGTTGGTCGTTCAGGTGCCTCTGCTGTTGAATTAGGTCGCGCTAGTTTTGTGGATCGGGTTGTTTTTATTTTCCGCACTTCCCTATTCCGGTATTGACTCTGACTTCTGATTGGTTAAAATAGCCTTTCCGTTTTTTTGGGAAACCGGAGCCCGAAAAACTTCGGTTTCAGAAGTACACGGGTCCGTGTGGACTAGGCCTAAGGTCCCAATCACACAGAATGCATCTTGCAACCTGTAAAGACCCTAAAAAAGAGGCTGGATCACGGGGAGTACCACCAGTTCGCCCAGGAGATTCTCCTCAGTGATGGCCATTTCCACAACAACCTGCAACCTGCTGTCTATCGTCGGGCCGTATAGCTCTGGGTATCCAGCAACCGCTACCACCAGTTTCTTCTCCATTGTTTACCCACTGTAAACTTGTTGTCGTGACCACCACAGAAGGCCCGCCAATCCAGTTGGAAGATGGGAGAAAAGATGACGAAAAAAGAGACGACATGGAGCGTTTTTTTGCTTTGAGTTGAAGTTTTTGGCGAGACATGGCAAAAACATCGATTTTTCATGCAGTGGTCAATTTTGAGATTTTGGGCTAGTTTACTCCTTGAATATGTTTTCTTTCAAACTGCTATAAAGGAAACATTCAAATTCTACATTTAGACATTTATTTTATTACATTTTGTCGACTTGCGTAATTTACCAAAAAGTTAGCATTGTGCAGTGTAGGCCAACATGTTTATTAGTTGGGTCACTACAGTTGTCATGTTATTAAATGATCCATTTTCATGAGCTTTAAATACATTATATTATTATTACTGAAGGCCTGAACATTTATTGTGTTTGTGAGGAATTGTTTCCAATAGAAATGTATTGAATTCCCCAATGTAAATCTTCAAACATCTGAGCCTCTGTAGCACCTATGTACACCAAACTTTCCAGTTACACACCTAGCTGTATTCTGAAGATATTTACACAGGGATTTGTTAATAAATCATTCCTAGCCTGATTTATGATTTATGTTTATTCCCAAAAATATGGCGACAGTGTATTTTTTATTTTTCATTATTTTCTAGGTAATAAAAGCAGATATCCTTAAATCCCTCTGTAATTTCTTTTTCATCTTATATGTAAACAAAATGAAAAGAATTTTGCACCTGGCTTTATTAGATGTTCAGATTTATCTTCCTAAAACATATGCAAATTAGCGCATATTTAATGAGATAATGCCTAATTTGCATCATTAACCATTACATTTTTAAAAACTTGTAATACATTTTTTTCATACTATTATAAGTGATCAACTGAGGAAGTTTGCATTTGCGATCCCTTCAAGGGATTTCCGAACCAAACCAACAACTTAAAATATCTAATACTCTATCTGTAAGTTCAGAGTTCAACAGCTATTGTTATTTAACAACGACACAATTTGAGACTATCAGTTTCTTTCCCAAGGTCCCTTTGCCAAATCAATTTCACATTAAGAGACATATCACACAGGAGGGAGTTAGTTACTTAATAAAATTGTGACGCCTTGTAGTTTTCCAGTGGTATGTTTTTTAAATGTATGTTATTTCCGTTTTTATCTTGATGGTGTATACTATTCTATCTGTCCCATAAAGCACTTGGTAATGGTGTTTTAAAAAGTGCTATACAAAAAAAACAGGTTATTTATTCATAAATGTCCCCACTTTCCAAAATGTCCTCTTTCTGTTGGTGAAAAACACAAATGGGTCCTCACAATGTAGCATATACAAGTAGACACACACATATAGAGCAAGCAAATAGATTTTGATGCTGATAATTTTGCAATGGAACAAGAAAGAAGAAAGACAAATGAATAAATGATGAAACTTTTTTTATTCCAGCTCCCTTCAGAAGACATTATACATAACTGTTCAAAAGTTTGGAATCGTCTGCTGCAGAGGATTAATTGGGTGCAGTCTAATGTCTGAGAGGACTATGCTATATTTCTGAATGGTCTTTCATGACGAACAGTGAAGAGCTAACATTATGTTACTGTGCGCCTTTTTGAACTGATGATACCAAAGATAATTTTAATTTGCAAACAAAAACGATATGGTGGTCAACAAATAAACGAATTGCAGGATGCAAAATGTGTTGGATACATTTGAAGTCGCACAAGACAAATATTAACATAGATGGCAAGCTAATTGTTAGCTCACGCTAGCTAAACAGCAAGGTAACATTTACCAAACTTGTTCTAAAAATAAGCACATTTTTTAAAAGCATCCATGATTGTTTTGTACACTTGATATATTTTTATCTCTTGTTAAAATGACAAAACATTTAGCAAACATATTACAACTTGAAACTTGAAGTTAAAGACTTGGGCCCCACAGGAAGAGCTCTGGGCTTTGAAGACAATTTTCATGGTGGTGAATCAGTGGTACTGCAATTTCCGGGGTCCGTCATGTGATGCCATTGGGCCCAAAATACTTTTTCTCATAAACTTACATTTGAAAAGTGGCGTCTATAAATCAGTGCATACAGTTGTTAAAAGTGTCGCAACCCCCAACAAGTCTAAAAGACCCGTAAGATTAAATTATTTCGCCCCCATTCAAATTAGCGCCGCGCTAAATCAGCTGCTAAGCCAGCGGAAGTTGGCGGAATCAGTGTCAATCATGTGAGTAATTTAATACAAGAGCAATGGAGCTTTTTTGGCTTAATGTGCAACTAAGCAACTATAAAAGGAACGATCGGTGCCCGACGCCAATGCTGTATCTCGGTCTCTTAATACATCCATGCCTGGTACTCGTTAATCTTGACTTGGGACTTCTTCTGTTTTTTAGAGCCCAAACTATCTTGAATGTAACTAATGTTAGTTCATCTCTGTTACAATATCGATTATCAAACTTTTTAACTGTAGCGTATTTTTAAAAAGAAAAGTACCAGGAAGTAGTGCAAGAACTAAATAAATTCCTCTAACACTGCCTTTGATTATTTTTCTTCCCCAGTGCACACTTTACTACTATAATTTAAAAGAAGCCACAGCACCAGAAAGTAGTGTAAGGACTATTTAAAACTCTCTAAACCCTTCATTGATTATTTTTGTACTAAATTGCACTTTACTCCCATTATTTCACCACAGATTATATATGCATGGATCAATGGGTCGAATCAGCAGCCCACGGATTCTGCAGAGATAATAAATGAGGTGGATCAGGTGGATCAAATGAAGATTATCTGGCGTTGTTTCACAGCAACGATAACTTCTGAGACTTCAGGCTCTTTATTGGGACGAAGCTTAAGTCAGGAATCACCTGAGAAGACAAAACTGTGATGAGTCATGGTTTGGTCAGATTGTCGTTAACTTTCTTGATCATATTCCTGCTACTGAGAGTATGAACCGCTTTATATTAATGACCTCATGACCTGTATTCTAGCGCCGCCCACAAGACAAGCTTTACATCTTTAGCTCCAAGAAAAGCCAAATTAAACCATACATACCGTGTAGTCCATCAGAAGGAGAGCCGTCTTTACTTATTCCAGGCCATAGTGATGAGGGCTGAGTTTCTAGCTGCATATTTAGACCTTAAAGATCTACGCCTCCTTTTTTCGTCGTCACACTCCTGTAAGATCGAGAGGATGGTCAGGTGTTAGACTTCTATTTGAATGTCAACACTTTGTGAATATTCAGCTCATCACAGTATCCTTTTAGTTCGACATACACATATTATTTCAAGACACAGAAACATATTCATTGTTTCTTTACTGTATTTTCAAACAGGTTGATTTAAAATTAAAATTCGTTGAAATTTTCTTACGACACCACGGCAGCTTTTAAGGACAGAAATGTTTTGTAACGTTGGAGTTTTTTTAACCCAATCACCAGATTAAATATTGGTATTGAACGTTTATACAACCCTGGATGTGTTTCATTTGTGCGTTACTTCTAACAATGCTGTGGCTAATGTTTGGTTAGGTTTAGGCGCAAAAACCACAGACAAACTCAGCAATGTCTTGGTAAAAAAAACTACTGGTTTTTGTGGGACTATTCCAGCTGCAGAAGTAGCTCCCAGTTGCCTGTGTGTTTGGTTCCTAAAAAGCTGCTGGAAGAGTAGCGACAGGTTGCTAAATCACAATCGCCTTTGCTGTTTGTCGTTCTGGAACAATGGTCTGCAGCTTGGTAACACGTCCTCCACTGTGCCCATCGCCTCTGGATGACAAAGTCAGCTCATATACGATGTCAATTTTAGAAACGTTGATATGATTCATATTAGGGCCCTGACACACCAAGCCAACGGTGGGCTGTCAGTGAGCATCTTTGCCCCTCGTCAGCCCCTGTTGGCTTTTTTTGATGAATGAAGCACTCTGATTGGCAGTTTAGCTCAGCATACGAGAAGAGAAACAGAAGTGAGGAAAGTAAACAAAAGCCCACTTTCAATACGGTACCTTTGGAACCAAAGGTCACCCCTCAGACATGGTACTCAGATCTCAGAACAAAATAGAACAGGCTGCAGTGAGAGTCTCTCTCAATGGGATATTTGAAAATAGCAGCTTTCTGCATTTAGTCCTTCTCAGACAAGCTCAGGGGTTTAGTGTTGCTGTAGCCCATGGGAACTACACTTTGCGATGCTTTTTTTTCTCCAAGTGAGGATTAGAATACATGCAGTTTACGTAACCCGGTTGAAACTAATATACATAGAAGATCCACTCATTCCACCTTTTAGTACCAGATCTGTGTGCTAGGTACCCCAACAGAGGGGGGACCAAACATGGGGACGGTATGGAACGGTTCCATTGGTACCATCCACAACTTTTCACAGTGGAAACACAAAAAAAGCGTACCGAACTGAACTGAATCATACCGCTTGGTGGAAACGGGGCTAAAGGGCTAAAGTCAAGAGGGAATGAGATCAAAACAAGACTTAGCTCGTTCAGTAGAAACGTTTCCTAATGGTTTGTGTTATTGTTCATTGGTGCACGGTAGATATGCTTTGTTCTTTCAACACTTTATTATGCGTTCAATGTGCTAACTGGCTAACTAGCATCAAGACGGTCTTCTGCCTTTTTTAATGTCAATTACAGATGTAATGTTGGATACAAGTATTTCCTGCACTCCTCTTACCGGAACACAGTTGTTGTCCTCTGATGGGCACAGCTCCACTTGGCAGTTTAGGTAGATCTCGCCATCTTTCCCAGTGAACTGGAACATGTCGAAAGAAAAGGAGGAAGACAATCCCTGTCCGCTTTCGTACACCTTAACTGTCGAGTCATCACGACATCTGCTCCGAAACAGGAAAACACACATGACGACATCAGCGGCATCAACAGTTGATCCTTACAGCCACTGACAGAGTCTCACCCATTCGTGATGAGGTTGTATCGTGGGTCATCATCAGCTGAGTGCTCGCTTGTTGCCCAGCAGGATTTGGTCACCACGGCGATCTTGCTGTCTTCCAGCCCCTCCGTCTTCAGCACCACCCAGATCTTCTGGTTCAGCTGGACCTACGTGTCTGTATCGATAAGGTGCAGGTGGAGAGCGTCGGTGTAGGCATTCATCACCAGTGTGTAAGTCCACTCTCCAGATTCAATGGTCTTGATCACAGAGCTGCAGAGCACACACACACACACTTAAGCTGTATGAAACTGGAACTACAACAAGCTGCACATTAACAACCAGGTGAAGCTCAGCCGGCCTCCACACACCTGTCTGCGAGCTTGAAGGTCACGTCCTTGATCTCTGGCTTTTTGTAGAAGCAAGAGAAGTCGATATGTACTTGGTCGTGGCGGACGATGACTTCATTGGAGCCATCGTTTGCCATGATAACATTGGTGAAGGAAACTTTGCCGTCTTCTTCCTGTATTGTGACAAGAACACAAACGTGTTTCCAGATCCGGAAAAATGTATTTATTTTATCACAGTGTTCAGATTATTTTCACATTCACCTGTGACATTGCAAACCTGACAGAGATAAAAGGAAGACACAAGAAAGTCAAAGTACTTATACAGCACCAAAAGCTGCAGTTCCTCTAATGGCCACTTGAGGCTGGCCCCAAAAGCGAGTCAGTCCCCATAGGGGGTCCGTGGGGACTGATTCGCTCTTGAAATTTTCCAAGGAAATTTTTGTAAAAAATAACTAAATATAACACAGTCTCAAAATAAAGATTGTACCTTTTAATAATAAAATTATTTGGGAGGAAAAATACACATACAAATATAATGTCTTATGGCATGTTTTGGAAGTTTTAAAACTATTCCCAGTGTTGCACGGGGAAAATACATCTCAAAGTACTAGGGCTTATGGCATGTTTTGTTTAAAAGGTCAGCAAATTTCCAGTAAAACTTTCAAGTGAAGTTGAGCTTGGGAATTTTGTGGATGAATAAATAAAAAAAATAATATACAGATTGTACCTTTGCCTAGAGTTGCAAAAGCGTCAGCAAATTTCCAGTGGAAAAAAAAATCCTGTACAAAGTTAATCACAAAAATGTTGAAAACTATTAAATTTTTGTTATGTCTGTGCTTTTTCTTTATGTGTGTCTTATTATGCTTTGTAAACTGCTGCCATTTTTGGCCAGGCCTTGCTCGTAAATGAGATCATTTGATCTCAAGCAAATGTGCCTGGTAAAATAAAGGTTAGAAAAAAAAATCCAATATAAAAATTGGAACTTTTAATAGAAAATTAATTTTGTGGGAAATACACATGGGCATTTTTAGGCAATTCTGAGCAACAAGCAGAAGAATTGGAAGACATTTAGGAATTTAGCAACACAATCTGCCTTTTGCATCAGCTGAGGCTTGAACTCACAACCTCTGAGACTAAGAATCAATTTCTATCTCACTGAGCTAAATAGTCAGTGACAATTCATGTGTAGCTTCACAAATTGACTAAGCCAGACGTGCAGGTTTAGCAGCCGTCCATGCATGGAAAAGCAGATTTTAAACCACTGTAAAAAATTCAGTTATTAAGACAAAAATCTGAAAATACACATATTGCATCTAGACAGCATGGAGATGTTGGTAATTTGTTTTTAACAATGATTGATTTGCTCCATAAGTGAAAAACTGATGTTTAAATTTGCCATTTTTACATTGACTCCAATTGTTCACATTAGAGCAAAATTCAAAATGCTGTCAAAAATTCAGTTTTTGAGATAAAATTCTGAAATTTGCCACACATCATCTACCATGACTCTAGAATTTTGTCTTTTTTTCATGAACATTGAAGATTTATTTCGCAAGAATTTGCATGTATATGTTTACAGTACCGTTTACAGTCAAACATTTTGATGCACTGTAGGCTCAATTTTTGATAAATCAAAAATCTGAGAAACATAGTTTGTGTAGGACAGTCTGAAGATGCTCTGTAGCAAGTTTGGTGTCAACTGAGCAAAAATTGTGGGAGGAGATACGTTTAAGAAGTTTTACAGTTTTTGAAAAAAACAAAGTGATGAACTTCATAATTTTTAATAGGTTTAACTGTACAAAAGTTTCTTCAGTATTGGGGCTACAGTTTGATGAAAGTTGTGAAGTTGTAGCATGTATGGTTGATTTGTTATGAATTTTCAAAGTTTTGAACTTTAGACGCTTGCTGTAGCGCCACCATCAGGACTATTGGCTTGAGTTTACAGATGAGGATATCTGGCATGAGACTGGACCTTTGTGCAAAGTTTGGTGAGTTCTCACCCATGGGAAGTATGATTTCCTCGGAAGAAGAAGAAGAAGAAAGAAGAAAGAAGAAAGAAGAAGAAGAATACCTAGGATTAGCTTAGCTGCCCGGACCCTAATTAGACCTTTTAATAGAAAACTTATTTTGAGGGAATTACACTTAAGAAAAACTTTTGTTCAAAAGTACGCCCAGAGTTGCAATGGGCCAGCACATTTCCAGTAAATTACTAGAATTTTTTAAGGGAATTAAATTAAAAAAACGTTGGAAAAAAACCTTAATTTCAATTTATTGTCAATATAAAATGTGGACCTTTTAGAAGTGAACTTATTTTAGGGGAAACACACAGGGAGGAAGTCCATGGAGAGGCTGATGGAGGCCTGAGAAGACTTTGGAGAGAAGGGGTCACAAGTTCAATACAATGTAAACTGAGTCAACTAATTGAATTAAAGTGAATGGGGCTTATAATAGCCAGTTTTGGGGGCACAATCCCTGCTGATAGCAGCGATATCTAAAAGGTAAAAGGTTTGTTTCTGTTTGCCTATGACATAATGTTATTTATATTTTATTCCTATTATCTATCATGGAAAGTTTCCACCTTACATATTCCAGAATTTCGCAGCCCCAGGACAGCACCCACCTTGACCTCTGCTCCACAGGTTCTCTTGCTGGTGTCAAAGTAGAAGGTCACCATGTGGCTGTTGGAATCAAAGTCACCTATGCACTCCTTGTCGTTGAGGTGCAAGACTTTGTAGTTGACGCCTTTGTCTTCCAGCAGACAGTTTGCCAGAGTAAGAGTAGCAGAGTTCTGCTTGCAGACAGTCGGATCACCTGAACACCCGACAGGACAAAGAAGTTAAAATATCACCACTTCACTTTGATTCATTTGAGCTTGCAATTAAATAAGTCAATACTCAGTAGCTGTCGTCTGTGATTCGGTCTCAAAGGATGTCTGAACCAGCTCTAAAGAAACACCACAAGCTCTCAGGAGGTTTCTCATGCCACAGATGTTGCATTGTACCTAAAGTGTCTGCGTAATTGGAGGCAAACAAAGCCCGACAGAAGCAGCGGGTTCCACCTGGCTTCTCGCCGCAGAACTCGTCCTCACTGCAGTAGTGGTCAAGACAGGGCCGAGGCTCGGCAGCTACAGACAGACACACAGACAAATGAGCTTCACTCTCAAATGAAGGATGAATGACATGAAAATAACACATATGCAAAAGGTTATTTAGAAAGGTCAAAGTCTGAAGGTGTCTCAGTTTACCCAATGACCTACAGTACAGGCCAAAAGTTTGGACACACCTTCTCATTCAATGCGTTTTCTTTATTTTCATGACTATTTACATTGTAGATTCTCACTGAAGGCATCAAAACTATGAATGAACACATGTGGAGTTATGTACTTAACAAAAAAAGGTGAAATAACTGAAAACATGTTTTATATTCTAGTTTCTTCAAAATAGCCACCCTTTGCTCTGATTACTGCTTTGCACACTCTTGGCATTCTCTCCATGAGCTTCAAGAGGTAGTCACCTGAAATGGTTTTCCAACAGTCTTGAAGGAGTTCCCAGAGGTGTTTAGCACTTGTTGGCCCCTTTGCCTTCACTCTGCGGTCCAGCTCACCCCAAACCATCACGATTGGGTTCAGGTCCGGTGACTGTGGAGGCCAGGTCATCTGCCGCAGCACTCCATCACTCTCCTTCTTGGTCAAATAGCCCTTACACAGCCTGGAGGTGTGTTTGGGGTCATTGTCCTGTTGAAAAATAAATGATCGTCCAACTAAACGCAAACCGGATGGGATGGCATGTCGCTGCAGGATGCTGTGGTAGCCATGCTGGTTCAGTGTGCCTTCAATTTTGAATAAATCCCCAACAGTGTCACCAGCAAAACACCCCCACACCATCACACCTCCTCCTCCATGCTTCACAGTGGGAACCAGGCATGTGGAATCCATCCGTTCACCTTTTCTGCGTCTCACAAAGACACGGCGGTTGGAACCAAAGATCTCAAATTTGGACTCATCAGACCAAAGCACAGATTTCCACTGGTCTAATGTCCATTCCTTGTGTTTCTTGGCCCAAACAAATCTCTTCTGCTTGTTGCCTCTCCTTAGCAGTGGTTTCCTAGCAGCTATTTGACCATGAAGGCCTGATTGGCGCAGTCTCCTCTTAACAGTTGTTCTAGAGATGGGTCTGCTGCTAGAACTCTGTGTGGCATTCATCTGGTCTCTGATCTGAGCTGCTGTTAACTTGCAATTTCTGAGGCTGGTGACTCGGATGAACTTATCCTCAGAAGCAGAGGTGACTCTTGGTCTTCCTTTCCTGGGTCGGTCCTCATGTGTGCCAGTTTCGTTGTAGCGCTTGATGGTTTTTGCGACTCCACTTGGGGACACATTTAAAGTTTTTGCAATTTTCCGGACTGACTGACCTTCATTTCTTAAAGTAATGATGGCCACTCGTTTTTCTTTAGTTAGCTGATTGGTTCTTGCCATAATATGAATTTTAACAGTTGTCCAATAGGGCTGTCGGCTGTGTATTAACCTGACTTCTGCACAACACAACTGATGGTCCCAACCCCATTGATAAAGCAAGAAATTCCACTAATTAACCCTGATAAGGCACACCTGTGAAGTGGAAACCATTTCAGGTGACTACCTCTTGAAGCTCATGGAGAGAATGCCAAGAGTGTGCAAAGCAGTAATCAGAGCAAAGGGTGGCTATTTTGAAGAAACTAGAATATAAAACATGTTTTCAGTTATTTCACCTTTTTTTGTTAAGTACATAACTCCACATGTGTTCATTCATAGTTTTGATGCCTTCAGTGAGAATCTACAATGTAAGTAGTCATGAAAATAAAGAAAACGCATTGAATGAGAAGGTGTGTCCAAACTTTTGGCCTGTACTGTACATTATTACTGGGCAGCACACATATCCAGATTCCCATACTGGATCACTACATTTTCTGACCAAGTAGGTATATGCTGCGATTCAAAACAGTCACCCACTTACTTTGGCTGACAACAAAAAAGCTTGGGAAGAAGACAAAGGGCAAGAACTATCAGCACAGATCTGGACAGACAGTATAGCCCGCGTCCTTATAAGACATGGATTAATACAATACTACGTCTTCCACCGACTACATCAGTGGCGGCTGGTTTTGAGCCATGACTCCTTCTATTCTGGCTCCCAATAACACAACAAGACAAACACATTTTAAGACTCCTGTGTAGCCTATAGCCCTGTGGGGGAGAGGCAGGTTTTGCCTCCAGCTAACAGACTGACATCATTGGGACGTTGGGCCTAAAAGGGACTCGTTTGAGGACATGGGGACTTAATAATTGTACCAATGCATTATATACAATTTTGGCTTAATAATCCCAAATATCGAGGAGAAATCGAAATGCATACCATAGGATAAATATACTTTACTTATACTGAACATAGATTTTGACTTCCTGAACTCCAGCATTAAGGTCGTGGAAAGTGTATTCAACCCGAAGTTACTCTGTTTCAGTCAAAAATTAATTCTACTTCCTCTCGTCTGTAAGATTAAAAATAGTTTGAGCCTGAAACAGCAAGGGTAAATCATTTCAATGTAATCTCAATAAAGAAAAACTGAGTGATGATCTTACAGCAGCCGTCCGTTGAACTCCAGTCCACTGTGATTCTGTGTTTCAGCTTGCAGGACTCGGCGTAAGCCTCGAAAAACTGGCATTTGTGACCGTCCACCTCCGGGTAGTGGCACAAAATGTTTGTGCAGGCAGTGATGTAGGGCGTTGGGTCAATTTTATCATTGCAGGCATTGAAGGGAGCCTGCTTCATGAGTTCACAGCTGTTCCAGCCATGCAGAGAAGAAGAATGAGAGCAAATTAGGAAATAATTTTGCTTCAGTCCATTTTTGTCAGCGTTTAGCTTTTCAAAAACATTCTCACTGTGGTCAAAAACATGCTCTGATATGTTCAGTTCTTACTAAGAAGTTAAGGGCTGGCATTCTGGATCGTCATGGTCATCGGTGTGCTCCTCCTCACAGCTAGGGGGCGACAAACAGCACATTAAGGCTGAAACCCAAACATTAATAAACAGGTTAATATCTGTCAGTGCATCATGTTAAGACTAAGTGGTACCTGTCTGCACTTTCGTCTGACTTCTGATCACTCGCGGAGGTAGTCTGCTCAGGATCGGCAGGGTTGCCACACAAGCCCAGGATAGCTTCAGACTCAGGAACTGGTCAAACAGGAGACAAATAAAGACAAATGAATGACCTTTCAACATAACAACCATTGCTGTCATTCTTACATTCAAATATCAACTCTCAAAAAGGCAAATATTAACATACAGTGTATTATGTGTAGTTTTCTGTACCTATAATATGTGCGCTGTTGCCATCAAAGACAACTTCCATTTCGGTGGAAGAAGGTATCTTAAAAGTAACTCCATAGAGGTCCTTGAAGAGCTCCACACCATGATGCGTCTCAAACTCGGCGCCAAGCTCGAGTATTTCGTCATCAACCTACATCACAGCAGATGATTGAAGGACAAACATCTAAAATATATGTATGCATGTGCTTTGCATGTTCCAACTTGCAACTCTGACTTGGATTTTGTAATGTTTATAGATAGCTTTCTGCTTGCACCTTTATTGACATAATTTGATAACAAGATATATTATATCCAAATTGGAATCAGGTCATTCTTGAGTCTAAGTGGACATCTGTGCCAAAGTTGAAAAAAAGGCAAAAGCCATGTCCTCAAGGAGTTTTCCGAGATATTACATTTACAAGAATAAAACAGACGAGGTCACAGTGACCTTCTTCTTTCACCTCTGACCACCAAATCTGGTCAGGTCATTCTTGAGTCCAAGTGGACATTTATGCCAAATTTGAGAAAAATCTCTCAAGGACTTCTTGAAATATCGTGTTCATAAGAATGGGATGGATTCAGGTCACAGTGACCTTGTCCTTTAAACTATGACACCCAAATTTGGATCAGGCCAAGTAGACATTTGTGCCAAATTTGAGAAAAATCTTTTGAGGCCTTCTTGAGATATTACATTTTCAAGAATGAAACAGATGAGGTCACAGTGACCTCCTCTAAGCTATGACCTGATTCTAACCTAAAAAAGGCCTTTCGTAGATAATGTGTTAATGAGAATAAAATGGATGCAAGGTCACAGTGACCTTTACCTTTGACAACCAAATTCTAATCAGTCCATCCCTGACCCAAAGTGGACCCTTGTGCCAAATTTAAAAAAAATGCCCCAAGGATGTTCTTAAGATATTGAAATCTTGATAATTGGACAGACAAGGTCACAGTGACCTTGACCTTTGACCACTAAATTCTAATCAGTCTACCGATGAGTCAAAGTGAACATTTGTGCCAATTTTGAAAAATAAAAAAAGCCACACAAAAAAATGTCCTCAAGGAGATTTTTTTGAGATATCACATTTACAAGAATGACGCAGACAAGGTCACAGTGACTTTGTCCTTTAACCTATGATCCCCAAAATCTGAATCAGGTCATTCTTGAGTCCAAGTGGACATTTATGTCAAATTTCAGAAAAAATCACTCAAGGCCTTCTTGAGATATTGCATGCATAAGAATGAGACAGAGGCAAGGTCAAAGTGGCCTTGATCTTTGACAACCAAATCCTAATCAGGGCTTCCTTGACTCAAACTCAAAGGTTTGTGCCAAATTTGAAAGAAATGTCCCCACTGTGTTCTTAAGATATTGCGATCTTGAGAGTGGGACAGACAAGGTCACAGTGACCTTGACCTTTGACCTATGACATCCAAAATCACAACATAAATACTACTGCTTGACATAAATGCTACTAACTTTGTATGCCATCATCAAAAGGAAATACTTATGTATTCCTATTCTATGCTGCTTTATACTTCCACAGGTCTTAACTTTAAATACAACACAACACTACCAGTAACTCCTGGTATGTGACTGATCAGTCAAAGAGGATATAAGGTGGATTTGTCTTAACCACCTCCAAAAACAAATTGTTACTTGTTTTTAGATGGATTGTGGCAGCTCACCCGAACTCTTCCACCTTGTTCCACGTGCATTTTTTGCCCACTATGTGATAGTACCAAGTGGTCCAAGAATGCCACATCTGTACGACGTCGCTCCTTGAAAACGGCCACCAGCTCAAAATCCGAACCTTCTTGAGGCGCCAGTAGAGTGTATGCGCACCGATTCCCAATATGGTGTTCGCGGTTGAAGAAATCAATGACAGAGGAGCCGGTCACAGTGCACACGACCTTGGATGGCACACATCTGATGGAGATGGAAAGAGACAGATGTGTTAGGTCAAAGACAGGTGGATGTTTTATCCAAGGCATTGTTTTCAGGTCATATAAATTAACAATGACATTTAATGAAAAGGACTATGTGTATCTCCGAACTTTTAAGAAATGAATAATAATAAAACCCTATTTGGATTCAAACCTAAAGTATGCAGTGCTGCTGTCGCAAAGGCAAGTATTACAGACCTACCTATAGAAACATATCCATAATCTTAAAAATCACTGTGACCTTAGATAAAAGAAAAAAATGTCCAACTTCACATGTTTTGAGACAGTTATTAGATTTAAAAAAAGGGTTTACAGCAACCTCAGTGCAAAGGTTTGCTGTACTGACAATGTTATTGACGTGTGATGCCAAATCGGCGGAGTGCTGTTTTATTTATTTTATTGTTTTCAGCCCGTACTTTACCAGATAACTCCCGCTGAGATCAACAGTCTGTTTTTCAAGGGAGACCTGGCCAAGATCACAGTGACCTTGACCTTTGACCTATGCCCACCAAATTCTAATCAGTCTACCCTTGAGTCAAGGTGGACGTTTGTGCCGATTTTGAAAGAAAAAAAAAGCCAAAAAAAAAAATGTCCCTAAGGAGTTTTTTGAGATATTACATTTAAAAGAACAAAACAAAAAATGTCACAGTGACCTTGTCCTTTTAACCTATGATGACAGAATTTGAATCAGGTCATTCTTGAGTTAAAGTGGACATTTGTGTCAAATTTGGAAAAAAATCCCTCAAGGCCTTTTTGAGATATCGCATTAATAAAAATGCAAGGTCACAGTGACCTTGGCCTTTGACTCTTTTTCAAGAGCAAGTGTGAACACAGCAATCGAACTCAGGACAGGACTTGTTTCTGGAAAAAACAAAAACAAAACTGCAGCCTCAGCTTTTTAAGAAGATTATCAACCTGGGGTTTAAAAAGACAGGGAGTCATCATGACAAATACCGAGATATTAGTAACGAGTAACAACCTCCCACATCTTTCACTGAGCAGTAAGAACATCAGGATTGCTCACAGGCTTCTTCCCAGCATTAGAGAAATGCATAACTTAGTTTATCAGCATTGAAAACTAGCTTTAGTAATGAGAGCTGAATCTGAGTCATCACAATATATCACTGTGTCGTCTGCATAAAAATGAAAATTGGCGCCAACCACATTTCGACCAAGACTATTAATACAAAATGAAAACAACAGCGGACCTAACACAGAGCCCTGGGGTACACCATTACAAGTGTTGAGCAAGTTAGAGGTGAGCCCTTCAAACTGAACACACTGAGACCTATCTACATGTAAAGTGTTACAGACTGAGTTATTCATCAGCTGATCAAAAAAGAAAGAAACAAATAATGGACATCAATAATCAATAATAAAAATAACTGTTAGTGTCAGCCCTAAACGGAAAAAATTCAGGACTCTCTCAACAGGTGTTTGTGTCACAGTCACAGGTGACGTTTGTCTGAATACAAGACGCTTTCAGCGCAACTGCTAAAACCTTTATTCAAACTTGACGCTAAATATAAAACAAACATATTGTATATGTTTATACCTGTCGTTGCCCTTGCAGACCTCCCATTCTAAACATGAAGAGACATCCACGATGTTTGCAGATTTATCACATATTGTTGAGTGGCAGGTTGCTGGACTGGGATCCAACACTGCACCAGGTAAATGAGTGTCATCTGGGAGGTGATAGAAGGTGTGTGAAATTAGCTCAGTATTAAACAATCTCTAACGAGTGTGCACAGTTTAAGAGAAGGAAATAACAGTAATCTAAAAATATCGGAATTCTGTTTGGAGGATCCCTGAGGGGAATTTGCCTACCATCGTGTCTGCATCCACTCAAGTCCATATAAGCATTGCTCTTCACTTCTTCGTTAGTAAGGTCCAACGTACCCATTGTTGACTCATCGACCTTTGCAGTAATTTTCTAGAAAAAGGATAGAAATGGACAAAAATCCAGGCAAATACTGTAATACTGAGTGAAGTGTCGGAACTGAACCCCACTATTTATATGCATTTATATCTTCCTTCATTTATAGGACAATTCAGTGGGACAGTGAGAGCAATGGTGACCCAAGCATCAGATGAATCAGCAGCCGTATGATGAGTCGGCAGCTGATTCAAGTTTCAAGTTTATCTCATTTATAGAGCATTTTAAAAAGGAATACAGGTTTTGTGCCAAAGTGTTTCAGGAAGACAGACACATATAAGCATAGAGACATAAAAGTGCATACATGAGATAAGATTGAAAATTAATTGAAATTGAACAAGTTGCTATGTGTCTTTTCAAAATACACTCCCGTTTTCACAGTAAATGTATAGTTTCTGCTCGTTAGATGCATACAGCCTTTTTCAAAATAAGTGGCAATACGGTGGAGCAGTGGTTAGCACTGTCACCTCACAGAGAGAGTATTCCTGGTTTGAACCCTGGTCTGGGGGAACCCTTCTGTGCAGAGGTTGCATGTTCTCCTCACGTCATAGTGGGTTTCCTCCAGGTGCTCCAGCTTCCTCCCACAGTCCAAAGACATGCAGGTTAATTGGTGACTCTAAATTGTCTGTAGGTGTGAATGTGAGTGTGAATGGTTGTCTGTCTCTATGTGTCAGCCCTGTGATAGTCTGGTGACCTGTCCAGGGTGAACCCTGCCTCTCACCCAGAGTCAGCTGGGATAGGCTCCAGCACCTCTGCGACCCCCAACAGGATAAGCAGTGACTGAAAATGAATGAATGGTTGGTGTAAAAGAACACCATGGTGTGGCTTAACATTGATAATGGAAGCGAACGGCGGGCTCCCAGGTGAAAGTCACTCTAAAGTCTTCGAAATCCAGCGGCGCAGGTACTTGCGTATGATGAAAAAAGGCATCCTTAAATGTCGGCATGATACGCTGCCGATTGCCGTATCGGAGGAAACGCGGCAGGTCAAGAACAAAACTGGTGGTGAAAGTCAGAGAATGGCAGTGGGAGGGGTCATGGATGGGTATACCAATCACCAACTTTCACCAAGGAGAGCGGAGTTAGCCAAACCCTGTTCTTTTTTCCTAAACCTAACCACATGTTTTTGTTGTTGGGGGGGAAACAAGTCAACTGGCGTTGTTGTACTGACGTAAAACATTTATTTTGAAAGAGACTATATGCAAAATGTTGATTTCCTGTGAAAACAGAAGTGAACGTCAACAACCAACGCACCCAGGGTACCTTACACATTTTATCTGGACTTGGAAAGTCCATGACCGAACATCGACATGTGATGAGGTCGGAGTGAGAATGTGTTGCCCCCCGACCTATATTTATAGGGACATATAGATCCTTATACCACATCGTTGCTGGCAGTGTTTCAAACTGGTGCCACCCACCAGCGTATCATAACGCCATGCAAGCTGGCTTTTGGCGTTGGTGTCTGACGCCGAAATCAATTCCTGACAACCCAACCCCGTCTCATTCCAGAGTCACAGAATACTGCTGCTTGAGCTTGAAATGCCGTCTGAAGACAATGCAAGTTAAGGAGCTGGAGAGTCGTTGTGGGGTAACCAGTGGATGGGTTCCAAAAAACATAGGACTTTCACCCGGAAGCCTTGTGTTCACTTCCTGTATGAATGCAGAGCCAAACCATGATGATTTTTCCAAACCTGACCTCTTGCGTTTGTTGGACAAGGAAAATAAACGTGAATACGAGGTGTTTTATTGGTATTGTAAGGTTATTTTGAAAAAAGCCTATTTGCATCTAACAAGCAGAAACTGTACATTTCCTGCGAAAACAGAAGTGTATTTCGAAAACAGACAATGCATGTAACAGGCTGAAGTTGACACGATGTCCCAGAACGTGAACAACCAACACACCCAGGGTACCTTGCATGTCATATGTGGACGTGGAAAGTCCATGACCAAACGTGGATATGTGAGGTTGGAGTGAGAATGTGTTGTTGAAGGAGGCAACATAGGCTGCCACCTAGCTTAATGATAATAACAATAATTATAGTCATTTTGGAAGGGGGGCACCAGGGGGAACTTGACAACGTTGCAGAATGTTCTCGGTTCACCACTGCATGACAAACTGGGACAAACTGGGTCTACAATCAGTGACGAGATGCTATGAACTCTGCAGTGGTTAACTTATGGCTGAAAGCTGGAGTTGTCATACTTGCCATAAAGCACATTGGTTTGAGGACATGAGTCGCCATAGTAACAGGCCGAGGCTAATCTCTAAGGCTACGTCTTACACATACTTACAAAATGATCCGGTCTGTCTGCATCTGACTTAATTCTCAGAGCTGTTTGCTGGCCGAAGTTGTAGAATCTCCATTCAAACTGAAAGCACAAACAGACAAAAGAGAGAAAATGTCAGGAACAAAGACCCAAAATATTTTTGATATGAACTTTGATTTGAAGTTCCCTTTGGCACATGATGTCTTTGAAATGTTCAGAGTCAATCAGTCTGAAAACATGAAACGATGATGACTCACAATTGATGTGTCTCCATTTGAGAATTGCAGTCCAATATTGCAAGCTGAGGTGGTCGTGAACTGTGACATTTCGTCGGTAATTTCTTTGCTAGTTTCTTCTTCTGTTATCAACGCCTTCAGTGTGTCTGAACCCCCTCCATCCTCCAATGACACACAGACAGATGAAGCAGTTTCACCCTCCTTTTTGAAGCAAACTGTGACAGACCCATCTACATAGGACACCTGGTAAAACACAGACAGCATCCATGAAGTAACAACACTGAGGCTTTTCAGGACAGCGTTTGTCTAAAAAAAAACATTATTCAGATGAACAAAACAAAAACACACAAACAAGGAAATGACCTGAAAAAAGTGCTTAAAAATTATAATAATTCTACAACATAATTTTAAAATATAATAAAGTAACCCAACAAATGGCAAAAAATTAGTAAAAAAGAGAAAATTAAAAACAAGAAAAATATTGAAAAAAAAGAAATAACCTGGACAGAGTGTTTAAAAATTAGTAACAATTCCATATGATAATTTAAAAATATAATAAAGTGACCAAAATAATGAGCAAAAATTAGTAAAAAGAGAAATTTAAAACAAGAAAATTATTCCAAAAAGAAATAGAAGAAATAACTTAAAAAAAATAAACAAAGAAATGACCTGCGAAGAGTGCTACAACATATTTTAAAAATAGAATAACGTGACCTGTAAAAAATAACAAGAAATTAGTAAAAATAGAAAATTAAAAATAAGAAAATTATTTAAAAAAAGGAGAATGCAATTTCTGAAGCAATTACGGGTGTGAATGCTCAAGCTGAATAGCTTAGGCTACACTGCAATGTGGAATATGTCAAGGTTTTTCAAAAAACTGATGGTACACTGCAGTGCTTGCTTTGAATGTTGAATTGTATTATTAATGTATGAATGATGTGGAATATTTTAGATTGTTTGAAAAGCTGACGCTACACTGCAATGTTCACTTGAAACGCTGAATAATACCATGCATGTATGAATGATGAGGAATATTTGAAGGTCTGAAAAGCTTGCGCTCCACTGCAATGCTGGCTTTAATGTGTATGAATGTCAATGAATAGTTGAATGAGACCAATAATGTGGAATATGTCAAGGTTTTTCAAAAAGCTGGTGATACGCTGCAGTGCTTGCTTTGAATGCTGAATTGTATTATTAATGTATGAATGATGTGGAATATTTTCAATTGTTTGAAAAGCTGACGTTACGCTGCAATGCTGGCTTAAGTGTGTAAGAAGAAGGTGAAGTACTAGGAATAGTTGAAAAAGTGTGAATAGGTTTGATTAGTACGAATTCATTTAAAAAATTAAATGACACTAATAATGTGGAATCTTGAAAGGATATTTGAAAAGCTGACTCTAGACTGCAGTGCTGACTGGAATGTATCAGAAAACAGTTATGCAGTACGAGAAAAGTGGTAAGGGCTTTAATATGTATGAATTCATGCTGCATCCTTTGCATTCACAACCAATTATACCGACATGAAATAGAGAAAACAGGTGAAACACAATTAAAAGCCAGAGATTTAGAGTCTTATATTTCCTCTACATACACTGACAGTAAAGCAGCAAGAACAGCAAATGAAATCTGTAACAGACAGTCATCAGCAGGCAGTAGCAGGAAAGACAAAGAGTTGACTCACGTCGGCCTTTGAGTATTCTTCTCCATAAATTTTGACTTTACATTTGCTTATATCCACAGTTGTCGGTCCGGTGATGGGTTCTTGGGACAGATAGAGGTCGAACTGGCTGGCAGCAACTACAGCGTGGGAAAAAACGGGCACAAAACATCACACATCAATCTATCAAGACCAACTTTTCCAATTCCCAGCTCTGAGTTAAAATGGCATTCATCGGTGCAATGATTTCTGGGTTTAAAAAGGATCAAATGACTGATCAAAATATGTACCATCAGTGTGAATTACTGAAGGCTTCAGTCTGATAGTAATATTTCATACATCAATGTCAAACATCAAACTGCTCCAGCTGGACTCTGTTGATTGAAAGGTCCCCTTATTCATTTATATATGGCTTTAAAATAAAGGTTATGTTTTAAAGCACTGATAAGTTTTTCAGTATTTGCTTACCTGCCAGCAGGAGGAGCAGTGCACCAGGCCTCACCATGATGGAGCCCCGTCAGTAAAATGTCACAGAGCTGGGAGAGATACAGTTCACATAGTAAGTGGCAAAACACGTCTTTAATCCCTTCAACAACCTTAAAGGGATCATTTGGATTTTTTTGATTTGAGGTTTTATGGGGTACTTCCATAGTCAGTGCATTACACACAGTAGATGATGGTCGGCACCCTCAATTGCTCCTCTCAATCAATACAACATGTATATCAGCTGACTGGCAATCCCTAATAAACTGGCACCATCCACATAGTCTGGGAGCAGTTTTTGTCCCTCCTATAAGGGTCCAGGACTCAAAACTGGACAGATCAGACAAAATAGAGAAACATGACCAACCTGGAATAATAATTACCTGGTTGAGGGACGTAGGGAAGAGGATCGAGGGATGTGGGATGAGGGTCGAGGGAAGTAGGGAAGAGGGTCGAGGGATGTGGGATGAGGGTCGAGGAATGTAGGGAAGAGGATCGAGGGATGTGGGATGAGGGTCGAGGGACGTAGGGAAGAGGATCAAGGGATGTGGGATGAGGGTCGAGGAATGTAGGGAAGAGGATCGAGGGATGTGGGATGAGGGTCGAGGGATGTAGGAAAGAGGATCAAGGGATGTGGGAAGAGGATCAAGGGATGTGGGATGAGGGTCGAGGGAAGTAGGGAAGAGGATCGAGGGATGTGGGATGAGGGTCGAGGGAAGTAGGGAAGAGGATCGAGGGATGTGGGATGAGGGTCGAGGGATGTAGGGAAGAGGATCGAGGGATGTGGGATGAGGGTCGAGGAATGTAGGGAAGAGGATCGAGGGATGTGGGATGAGGGTCGAGGGACGTAGGGAAGAGGATCGAGGGATGTGGGATGAGGGTCGAGGAATGTAGGGAAGAGGATCGAGGGATGTGGGATGAGGGTCGAGGGAAGTAGGGAAGAGGATCGAGGGATGTGGGATGAGGGTCGAGGAATGTAGGGAAGAGGATCGAGGGATGTGGGATGAGGGTCGAGGGAAGTAGGGAAGAGGATCGAGGGATGTGGGATGAGGGTCGAGGAATGTAGGGAAGAGGATCGAGGGATGTGGGATGAGGGTCGAGGGACGTAGGGAAGAGGATCAAGGGATGTGGGAAGAGGATCGAGGGATGTGGGATGAGGGTCGAGGAATGTGGGATGATGGTCGAGGGAAGTAGGGAAAAGGATCAAGGGATGTGGGATGAGGGTCGAGGGAAGTAGGGAAGAGGATCAAGGGATGTGGGATGAGGGTCGAGGGAAGTAGGGAAGAGGATCGAGGGATGTGGGATGATGGGATGAGGTTGAGGGACGTAGGGAAGAGGATCAAGGGATGTGGGATGAGGATCGAGGGATGTGGGATGAAGGGATTAGGATCGAGGGATGTAGGGAAGAGAATTGAGGGATGTGGGATGAAGGGACAAGGGTTGAGCGCAGTAGGGTAGAGGATCAAGGGATGTTGGATGATGGGATGAGGGTTGAGGGATGTGGGATGGTGGGATGAGGTTCAATGGAAGTAGGGAAGAAGATCGGGGGATGTAGGATGAGGCGTCGAGGGATGTGGGAGGTAGGGAAGAGGATCGTAGATGGAACTGATACTGAATTTTTTTTTTTAGTTCACTAAAATGCATTTTGTTGCTGGCCCCCATCCACAGCAGTACATTTCTTAGCTTCCATTCAAGACTCCAGCCTGCTTCTACAAACTGGAGCTGCACTGATGGACATCTTCTGTATGTAATACACTGTCTGTGGATAAGTCCCCCATACAACCCCACTTAAAAACGTCTGAACTATCCCTTTAATATCCATACCATATAAATACACACAGTATAAAAGGATTCATGATTTGATTCAGGCTTTCTGCATCTGCACACATGCTTCCCTCCTGTCACTAAGTCTAATGATGCCTCCCCACGACAACCGGTTTTTAAGTTATGAAAGGAGACGTGGCAAAACAGTACAGAACGCACCTGAACAAAACGTGTTGTGAGGGTGGTGGTGGGCGGGGGAGTAATGTCACAGAACATGACACCACACACTGCCACATCTACAGTACATGCATGATGAACATGTCAAACTACTTTTTTTTCTACTGTTTTTTTATAACCATGTAAGTTCAACAATCTCTTTTCAAGGGAGACCTGGCCGAGACAGCAGCGTACAAAAAAGTTACGACCAAACACGAAGACAATAAAAAACATAAAGGACATACAGTAACATAGAAATGTTAGACACCTATGCACAGTGACAAGAACCAACCTATTCAGTCATCCTTGTATTTATGAGAGCCTGAAAACCAGGGCCTCTAACATATAAACTTACAAATGAAACAATAGTGAACAACAAGCAGCCAGTCCATAACCAGAACGCATCAACTTAATTTTCGTGAATGAATGGTTGGTGTAAAAGAACAACATGGTTTGGCTTAACATTGATATGGGAAGCTAACAGCGGGCTCGTGGGTGAAAGTTTGGGGTTTGCCGGACCCATCCGAATCTCCCCCCTCAACCCGGTGTCACTCCAAAGTTGTCGAAATCCAGCGCCTGAGCAGGTACTTGTTTCTGATGAAAAAGGCATCCTTTAATGTCAACACGATATGCGGCTGATTACCGTTATAGTTAAACGGCGCTCTTTGGCATCAGGAGGAAACGCGTCCAGACAAACATGGTCCCATGGGTTCTTTACTCTTTTAATTCTATTTTTTGTTAGAGCCACATGGAGCCACTGGAGAGGTGCTTAAAAACTGCATGTAGCGTTGGAGTCAAAGGTTGCCTACCTCTGGCTCTGGGCCGATCTATTCCCAAAATCTTGTATTTCGAAGTTACAAATCTTTTTGTTATGGGCCATTCCCATTTAATACTAGTCAACTGGCATGAACACAAACACACACATTTGACCTCCATACCATATTTCAGCCTCCTTAGGCAAAAACTGTGACCGCCAAAGGGTGGGGAAATTTTTGTGGACCCACTGACCGACCAACAGAGCAAACTACGGAGCTGCTGGTGGCAGTTAATGAACAGAAACAGCATGACACCATTGTAAAGAGCGTCTACATGTAGGTTGCTGATGTCATGCTGAGGGGGAGTCTATTCCACAGTGTTAGAGCAGTCATCCTGTAAGTGCATAAGCATCCTCTACATGAAGCCAGACGGAGAGGGGAGGGGCATGAAGCTTGTCTTACCCTCTGGAGGTTGGGTGGAGCAGCAGGGAGATGAAGCTGTGCAGGTGGAGTTCGGTGTTGAACCTATCTGGGGTGTTCCAGCTCTCAGGATGATGTGCCTGCTGTGTGTCTGACTCTGTCTCTTATGAGCAGGTCTTCCTCGTTCACGCCCCCGAATACTGACGTACATCTTAGATTTGTTTAAAGTTTCAACTCCCCAAACTGGCTTTCTGAGACCTCTAACATGTGGCAGCAACCATCAATACATAAGAGCGTTTCATAATCTTTGAGAAGCCCATGAGAAAGTATTTTCCCATGAGACCTGGTCCACTTGAAATGCACCGCCATCATTGTAGACCAACCGCTCAAGAATGACCTGATGGACAATGAGCTAACAGGCTTGACCCAACGTACAAAGTCCCAAGCTCCCAATCCAATCAACCATCTGCGGGGGGGGGGCCGGTACCCCACCTCGCAACCCATCAGACTCAAATGACCCACTGCAAACACCACAGGACAGCTCCAGAGGTCCTGCGTCCATACTGTGGATCAGACCTGACTCTGGGGTAATTGTCAGACTGCGATCTTGGGAATTCAGAGGCCTTGAGCTCTTTGTCATGTTCCTCAGGCCATTCCTGAGCAGTTTTCGTGGTGTGGCATTGCACATTGTCCTACTGACAGATTTTAAAATCACTTCACACACGTGGTCTAACAATAGAAATCAACATACCCAGTTTTTGTCATGATTGGATTAATAATTTCTGATTTATAGACTGATTTGTGTTATCCCACGCCCATTTTTTTAGCATTTGCAGCGCGCCCTAGCAGTCGATTCAAATGAAACTACTCAAAGGGTATGTTGCTAGTACTTATGTGGACATTTCCTGCAAGTTTTGTGATGATTGGCTCAACTGTTCTGGAGTTAGGTCTATTTATGTGCTGAGCCACGCCCCTACAAAAGCTGATCGGTCAATATCATTAAAACCCAATGAGATAACAACAAGCTGTTGATCACTTTTGATGAGCTTGCTCCAGTAATGATCCACAGATAATTTGGTACAACTCGGGCCTACGATTTAGGAGATGTCATCAAAATTGTGGTACCCCCCTATTGAACGATTTTAAAGTAATTTAAAATGTGGTTCGGCGTTATTTGATAATTGGTCCAAAGGTTGTGGAGTTAGGTCCACTTATGTGCTGCACCACGCCTCCTCTTCATTGGTTCATTGGTCAGTATCTTCAAAACGCAATAAGATATCGATAACAGTTAAAGCATGGGTTCATGGGGCCTGGCATTCATGTGGACCCACCCAAACACCAGTGTCTGATGGCAGTGGGCCCCTCCAGCAGGACAATGCACCATACCACACTGTAAAAACACAGCATAGAGCTCAAGGTGTTGACTTTGCCTCAAAATTCTCCAGATGCTGATCTCATCGAGCATTCATGGAACATGCTGGTGCCCCACGTCACAACCCACGGGATTCAACAGAACTGCCGCCAATGCCCCAGACACCACAGGTGTAAAGCTGTCTCTGTGATCACCACCCTCTTTCTTCTCCGACTCCCTTGCTGTCGTAAATCTTTTCTCTGCGTTCACATGTTTATCATAGGGCCTAATTAGAAAGGATGCCAGGATGACATTCTCTCACATTGAGTTTGGCTTTTTATCCTGAGGGGATTTGAGGTGTGTTTAAAGAAGCTGCGTAGGTGTCATGCTAAAGAAAGCATCCTCAATGCAACAGCATGTACATTGTACATACTGTACACTCTATCTATAAGGCCGACATACCGACACATCTGAGCTCCCTTACTGATGAAAACAGTATCACTTTGCATATTTGCACTTTCTGAACTGACATAAATTTCATATTAGCTTCTGATTCTTTTAATTTCAGATTTTGGACTGATCCAATTACTGATTACCAAGTGTACAACATATACAAAAGTAAGGCTAAACAGTCTAAACAAGTAATATAAACCGGTACCTGTCTGCTGCTTCAGGTGACTCCTGGGCCAGCCACACCCGAAAGGCAAGTTCTTAGGTTGCTGCCACGACAGGCACCGACAGCCTTCTGACCACAGCTTCTAGCAGCCACCTCCACGACGGAGCTTTGAACATGGACCACTCGGATTCCACGTCCCCAGAGAAATTCTTCCGGAGGTAGGACTTGAAGACCTCACAGACAGGGGCCTCAGCAAGATGTTCCCAGTTCACCCTCACTACATGGTGGTTTGTCTGGGCTCAGCCTAGAGGTAGGGTAAAGAGCTCAGACATCCCCAGGGAGCTCGGAGTAGAGCAGCTGATCCTTTGCGTCTCAAGGGGTCAGTTGAGGTGGTAAGGACATCAGATCAGGATCCGCCTGATGAGGCACATCTTGTTCGAGGTGTTCCAGGCATGTCCCACTGGCAGGAGGCCCCGGGGCAGACCCAGAGCACACTGGAGGGATTATATATCTCATCTGGTCTGGGAATGCCTTGGGGTCCTCCAGGAGGAGCTGGAAAGCAATCTTCCAAAAGATCTAAAATTAGAAACACTTATATCCATCAATGAATTTAAGGGCATCATAAAGATGTGCTTGTTTTTCTTGAGAGGCCACTTTATTTGAATAGTTGTTGTTTTACTATGGATTTTTGTATTAAATGTTGCATTTGTTGCATTTTAGAAGTGTTTTGATTGGCTGCTACCTCAGCCAGGTCTCTCTTGTCAAAGAGATTTTCAATCTCAATGAGACTTCCTGGTTAAATAAAGGTTAGAAAATGTAGAACATCTGCATTAAAGATACCCAACCGGTTCTCTAACAATCAGACAGATGCTCATTCATTTATGTCCAAATCTCTTTTGCAAAAGGTCACTAAAAAAGAGGGAGGATCATGGGGAGTACCACCAGTTGGTCCAGGAGCTTCGCCTCTCTGATGGCCATGTCAAGTACTGCACTTATGTACTTCCAAGCCTGCCGTTTTCTATTGAGATGGTGCTAACTGTGGTTTGTAAAGTTGGGTATCGCGCAACCACTACCAACAGTTTTCTCCTCAAACTGTGAACTTGTTGGCGTGACTCCACAGAACGCCTGCCTCTCAAATCGACCGATTAGACAATGGGAAAAAGTAGAGAAGATGTGGAATGCTTTTCCTCAGGCATATACCTGTGTATCACAAAGACTACACCACTAGATACTGATGGATTCATACTCATGGAAACAAAGTTAAAGTTAAGGGAAAAAAACTAATACCATGTTATTGAGTGAGTTTATAGAGGTGCGTCACATGGTTTCAAATATTTCTGTTTATTAGGTTCCCCTATATGTTCACTCCCCTCTTTCATTTGCAGTCATGAATTTTCCCCTCTCTGTTCACACGTCCATCACACGTCTTCAAAATCCCCCAAGACGACATTCTCTCACAATGAACTCACCTTTTTTTCCTGAGGGGTTAAGGTGTGCTCGAACAGTTTGTGCCATTGTCATGCCACAAATACCTTTCTAACATGCTAAGTGTATGTTCCATACATATGTAAATTCAAATGTCAGGGAGTGCATTGACAGTCTAACTGCCTGCATCAGCTTCAGAACAATGACAATGTTGTGTTTGGAACACTGCGTGCCGCCATCTATGTTTTTGCCATTGCTTACGTCATGAGAATGGTTGTTTACCAGGAATGCACTGTCGACAGACTGGAGTTTGAGAGTTTCGATGAGATAGATAAACTATCTAAAAAGATAGAATCGAGGACAAAGTCAAAAACCCAACTGCCGATGCTTTCGAGCCAATAGGAGCAAATATAGTGGGAAGACAAGCAGCGAACATGAAAGGAATATGAGAAGGTCTTGGTCCGGTTGTTTTGGTGTGCACCCAAGTGCAATTGCTGTGTTCACTCCTGCCCAAACGAACTGCACTTAGGGGGCAAACAAACTTGAGATCGACTGAAAGCACCCTTAAGCTTGTAAAAGTGCCAGCAACTGGCCAGTTGTTCCCGTGGCTTATGGGTCTTGTAGTCAATGTAACTGTGAAGCTCCACTGCAGATCTGAGGCCCTATTCACAAAGCTTCCTGGTGCTAAGAGTTGCTCTTAGTGACAAAATTCGAAGAAAATTCTTAGAATTGATGTTTTCTTAGAATTTCCTCTAAAGTTAAGAGGCTCGCAAAAGGGCGTGTCTGTGACAACCAATCATATTTCTAATCAGCAAGCATCACACCTAGCAATGAGGTCAAACACACACCTCCCCACTAAGGTAAAGATTTCTGTCCCTTCCTTGCTCAGAGTTGCTCTGAGACCTCAAGTCAGGAGATCTCAGAGTATTCTCAGAATGTTTCTCAGAACTCTTAGAAAAAAAACAGTCTTTCTCATCAATTGACATTTCTATCTGTGTTGATAAGTTTTTTCACTCAAATCTACCTATTCAGTGTATGGTTTAATCCAAGGGTCTGCAACCTTTACTATCAAAAGTGCCTGGACAAAACCTTCGACAAACATGAGTGCCATGTTTATTTTCAGTAATACTGTTTTCTATCTATCTTCGTATCTACTGTATCTGGACCAGGTGAAGCTTCATGCCATGGTCCCATTGTGTTTTCCAGCTAGTACCACACATCTTTTCTCAGGAAAATATTCAGGCAAGTGCGTTGAAAGTTATCTAACTCAGTGACAGTTCAGCACTGACAGTGATTCTGACTGTTGGGGGAAAACCAAAAGGTGTTACCTTTCAAATGAGAGGAACAAGAACAACTTTCAGTTTACTTTGGGCATGCCTTGGATAGGTGTTTTTTTGGTAAATCATACATGAGCAGTCTTTATAATTGTTTTACCAAAGACACAAAAGTATTTGGCCACACCTGTTAATTATTAAATTCAGGTGTTTCAATCAGACCCATTGCCGCAGGTGTATAAAATCAAGCAACCAGCCATGCAGTCTCCATTTGCAAACATTTGTGATACAAAATGGGTCGTTCTGAAGAGCTCCATGACTTCAAGCGTGGTACTGTGATAGGACGCCACCTTTGTGATAAAGCGGTTGGTGAAATCTATCCCTGCTAGATATTCCACGGTCAGCTGTCAGTGAGCACGGTTACATGCGCACAATAATCAGATAACTGGGAATAATCAG